ATCCTTTACAAATAATGGGGGTGAAATATATGTTATGAATATGAAAGACCTTTTTTTTGGGGGGGGGGGGGGGGTGTGTTTGTATTTTCTTATGTCTTCCTTAAATTTGTAATGTGTATGACTGTATACATGTATACCTTCTTTTCCATGTTTATTTGCAAACATGCATACAAAATGACCATTATTATTTCATAATCTAGTTCTTAAAAGATGCAATCCTATTTATGTATGTGTGTGTAAAATTGCTTTTCATTACATGTACAGTTGGTACTATGATCTAACGATGAATATATTTGATTGTATATGTATATCCCAAAGAAATCATGTTCAGATTACATATTTCATTGTAATAGACAATGGTCCCACATTTTAAGTGGAAATGGGCAAAGCTGTTGAAATTGCTTTAGGTTGATTTTCGAAAGTCTTTGCGATCATGTAACATTTCAATGTATAAACATTGATGTATTCTAAACAAATGATTGGTAATACTGGAACTAGAAGAGTATTTGTTTTCAAAGCCTTTCTGAGTTGTAGGTTGGCAATTTTAATAAATTATATTTTTGTAAATTACAGAATTCGTTATATGTTAATGTGTTTTGTTTGTTTTTTAATTTTCTTCTTGCTTATATTAGTTGGTGAGGTATATGAATGATGGGCATGTCCATTATTGTCTTCTTTTTTGGGGGGGGGGGTGATATCATAAATAATATCTTGAAATTGAAAAGCAATATATTCAAAAAGGCTTGTTGAAATCCCTAAATTAGTCATTTTTTATATGTTTTCAGAGAAGCAGGATTTTTAAATTAAATCTCACCCAGTCTTTTGGAAGATCTTAAGAAATGACAAGTTTACATTTACCAGTCTGTTTGAGCTTTGGAGAGAAGGGGAGAAAGAGTTGGATGAAGAGAAAGGGGGGAAGGAGAGATGATGGGAGAGGAAAGGAGGGAAGAAGAGAAAGAGATGGGAAAAGAGGAAGGAAAAAAATGAAAGAGAAAGCGTGGGATTAGGAAGAAGAGAAAGAGAATTCAAAAAGAAATGGGGGGAAGAAGAGAAAGATAATGGAGAAGAGGAAGGGAGGGGAAAAGGAGAAAGAGTGGGATTAGGAAGAAGAGAAAGAGAATTAAAAGAGAAAGGGGATCATTAAATATGTGAAACCAAAAATAGGAGAGAATGATTGGGAGGTGGATAGAACACCTTGTAGAATAGTGAGTGAACCCTATACAATTTGGCCCAGGGGGGGGGGGGGGGCTGGGAGAGGGTAAAAATGCTCCATATTCCCCCCCCCCCCCTTTAGCAAAATAAATGAACAAAATAAGTGCTCACAGCTAAATTGTTTTTTACAAATTGGCCCCGCCCTCGCCTCTGGCTTGGTCCTCCCCCCCCCGGTCAGAACTAGTGGCCCATTCAAGGTTCTGTAGACAGACATCAAAATCAGTTGTCCATCGTTGCCAGTAAATAATGCACATAGACAACGAAGTAAGCTGTTACTGCAAAAGTAGGCTTAAACTTATGGTGGCCCTGAAGGGACATCGCGAATAGACTAAATCGTGAAAAATATGCGATAAAATTCACGATATCGTCAATTTTATCGCATATTTTTCACGAAGAAATTCACGAAATTGACGATATCGTGAACTTTATCGTGAACTTTTCACGATGAAATTGACAATATCGTGAATTTTATCGTGAAAAGTTCACGATATAAAGTTCACGATATCGTCAATTTTATCGTGTACTCTATCGTGTACTCTATCGTGTACTCTCCTGACGAGCGCTTCGTAAACAAAACCAGCCCTAGGTGGGGGAGACAGAGAGAAGGAAAAAAGGGAAAGGGAAAGAGAAGATAAAAGGAAAGAAAGAATAATAAGAAGAAAAGAGGGAAACGGGGGGCGAAGGGCTCTTGCCTCCTCCTCACTCCCCCCCCCCCCTCCCCGCCAAAAAATAAATCAGAGAGAGAGAGAGAAGGGAAAGGGAAAGGGAAAGAGAAGATAAAAGGAAAGAAAGAAGAGGAAGAAGAAGAAAAGAGGAAAACGGGGGAAGGGCGAAGGACTCTTGCCCCCCCCCCCCCCCCCCCCCCCCGCCAAAAAATAAATCAGAGAGAGAGAGAGAAGGGAAGGGAAAGGGAAAGAGAAGATAAAAGGAAAGAAAGAAGAGGAAGAAGAAGAAAAGAGGGAAACGGGGGCAAAGGGCTTTTGCCTCGTCCCCCCGCCCCCCGCCAAAAAATAAATAAGAGAGAGAGAGAGAGAGAAGGAAAGGGAAAGAGAAGAAAGAAAGAGAAAAACGAAAAAGAGGGAGAATAGGAAAGAAAGGAAAAGAAAGAAAAGAAAGGAGGCAAAAGCCCTTCGCCCCTGTTTCCCTCTTTTCTTATTCTTTTTCCTCTTCTTTCTTTCCTTTTATATTTTCTCTCCCTCTCCCTTCTCTTTCCCTTTATGGCGGGAGGGGGGAGGGGGAGGTAAGAGCCTTTCGCCCTTCCCCCGTTTCCCTCTTTCCGTATTCTTCTTCTTTCTTTCCTTTTATATTTTCTTTCCCTTTCCCTTTCCCTTCTCTCTATCTCTCTCTCTCTCTCCTATTTATTTGTTGGCGCGGGAGGGGGGGAGGAGGCAAGAGCCCCTCTTTTCTTCTTATTCTTCTTCCTTTCCTTTTTTATTCTCTTTCCCTTTCACTTCTCTCTCTCTCTCTCTTATTTATTTTTTGGGCGGGGGGATGCAAGAGCCCTTCGCCCCCGTTTCCCTCTTTTCTTCTTCTTCTTCCTCTTCTTTCTTTCCTTTTATCTTCTCTTTCCCTTTTCCTTTCCCTTCTCTCTCTATCTCTTATTTATTTTTTTGGCGGGGGGGGGGGGTGGGGAGGGAGGAGGCAAGAGCCCTTCGCCCTTCCCCCGTTTCCCTCTTTCCTTCTTATTCCTCTTCTTTCTTTCCTTTTATATTTTCTTTCCCTTTCCCTTCTCTCTCTTATTTATTTTTGGCGGGGGGGGGGGGGAGGAGGCAAGAGCCCTTCGCCCTTCCCCTGTTTCCCTCTTATTCCTCTTCTCAAGTTCTTTCCCTTTCCCTTCTCTCTCTCTCTCTCTCTCTTATTTATTTTTTTGGCGGGGGGGGGGGGGAGGTAAGAGCCTTTCGCCCTTCCCCCATTTCCCTCTTTCCTTCTTCCTCTTCTTTCTTTCCTTTTATATTTTCTTTCCCTTTCCCTTTCCCTTCTCTCTCTCCTTATTTATTTTTTGGCGGGGGGGGGGGGGGGGAGTGAGGAGGAGGCAAGAGCCCTTCCCCCCCCCCCCCCCCCCCCCCGTTTCCCTCTTTTCTTCTTATTATTCTTTCTTTCCTTTTATCTTCTCTTTCCCTTTCCCTTTTTTCCTTCTCTCTGTCTCCCCCACCTAGGGCTGGTTTTGTTTACGAAGCCCCCGTCAGGAGAGTACACGATAGAGTACACGATAAAATTGACGATATCGTGAACTTTATATCGTGAACTTTTCACGATAAAATTCACGATATCGTCAATTTCATCGTGAAAAGTTCACGAAAAAGTTCACGATATCGTCAATTTCGTGAATTTCTTCGTGAAAAATATGCGATAAAATTGACGATATCGTGAATTTTATCGCATATTTTTCACGATTTAGTCTATTCGCGATGTCCCTTCAGGGCCACCATATAAACTTGTAGATAACAGCCAGCAAAACTCAACAATAATTAAAGAAGGGTGGAGTTAGCTGAACAAGAACAAGAAAGTTTCACCATCAGATTGTTAGAAAACGGTCACATGCTTAAAAAGGCATGCCATTAACAAATCCTTTACCTGACACTCTTCAAGCACTAATTGGTGTGGGGGCTAGAAGCTCAGGGATTTTAGGCATTAAATAACCATCAGATGAGCATCCAGGGGCTTGCCTTTGTGACACTTGCAGGTCACTATTCCTTCTTTCTTTCTATCTTTCTTTCTATTTCTCATTAATATACCTTTTCAAATAAGCAGCCTGGGAGGAAGGCCTACCTCCCCCCGATCCACAGTGAGTGCATCTGGAAAATTGCAGCTGATATCCACCCCCCCCCCCCACGATCCATGCATTGTTGATGATCTCCCCTACTTTTCACCCTTTTCTTTTCTTTTCTTCTTCCTCTTTTTGTTTTCCTTTAGTTCTCTTCTTTCCCTTCCCTTCCCTCTCTCTTTTTTTTTTTGTGGAGGGGGGGGGGGGGGGGGGGCAGCAGCCTGGGAAGAAGGCCCTTTCCCACCCCAGCCCCCTCACCGATCTCCTTCTTTCCCCCCTTTTCTTTTCTCCTTCCTCCTTTTCTTTCCCTTTCTCTCTCTCTCTCTTTTTGCGAGGGGGGGGGGGGGGGGGTCCCTGCTCGGCCCCACTGTATCCACGCCTGATTGTAGGCCTACAAGTCAATAATAAACGTTTTTCTCCTGCATTCTGACAGTTCAAGCTAAAACAAGTGTGCAAACCAATAAGTTGTTTCACATATTTGAGAACATTTATTGTAGGTTTAAGAAGAGACAAATAAGTTCAAGAAACTCTTTTCTCTTCAAGCAATGTTCCCTTTCCCTTCCCTTCCTTCTCTCTCTCTCTCTCTCTCTCTCTCTCTCTCTCTCTCTCTCTTTCTCTCTCTCTCGGGCTTGCTGGGAGGGGGGGGGGGGGGGGGGGGGGGAGTAAGGGCCTGGGCGGAAGGCCCTTTTCCACCCCTCCCCCCATGCACCGATCTCCTTCTTTTCACCCTTTTCTTTTCTTCTTCCTCTTTAGCTCTCCTCTTTCCCTTTCCCTTCCCTCTGAATAGATAATAAGTTCAAGAAACTCTTTTCTCTACAAGCAATGTAAACTGTACAAAAATCCAATCATTTAAACAAATTTAGTGGAATTTATTATTTGTATATATTGGATATCGTGAAATCTTTATTTATAAATACTTGGGCTATCCAATACTAGTACACGTTTAGTTGCATTAGACCACATATAAATAATTGTTAAATTAAATATAATATTGGTGTAAATAATAGGTCTACAAACGGCGCCTCATAATTGCCAAGGCCTATCCAAATTATTACAAGGGGCGCGCAGGATCAAGATGAAATGAGCTAGCTATTTCAAGAGGTGCTTGATCGACCACGGCCACGTACGTACGTCACTCAATCTCAACAAGCCATGTAATTGAAACAGCAATGTTGATGATATTTTTGGCAGTGAAACAGCATCGTTATTTCAAATGGTTCGTGCAAAGAAAGCACTGCTTTCGTATCGGCTCTCTGAGTATGTGAAGGACAGCGTCTCTATTTCTCCCAGGCCAGCTGCCCTCGCCTCCCGACGGTCATTTCTCCTTCGCGGTGGTGAGGAAAAACAAGCGAGCACATGTTCGGAGCTGAGAGTGCAGTGCAGTGAGAGCTCGAGAGAGCTGAGAAGCCCCGATATTGCTGTGCTGGTGTGCTTTGATGTTGATACAGCCCCTTTCATCTCGTTGATAACAAGAAGGTAGAATACTAGAAATTTCAAAATTAGTTTTTTTATAATAGTCTAGGGTCTAGATCTAATTATAATTTAGGCGCTAGGCCTAGGGTCTAGATCTAATTCAGAATCATCATGATCATATTCATAATCTATCCATACAAAAATCAACTAGACTTCTTGTAGTCTAAAGTTAGGGTCTAGACCTAGAGTCTTTTTATTTGCACTGTACACTCGGCACTTGACAAGCACAAGGTACGATAATACGCCAACGGCGGACTGTACTCTAATGGAAGAAGACGAAGAAGACTAAATCTTCATCAATTGTTCCAATATTAATGGTCATTATTTAAAGTCCTTATGTTTCTTAGATCTAGATCTACCCTGATTATTACCCTGTTTCTTATCTTTTAAAAAATATTTAAAAGAAGACATATTTATAATAGACTTTCTCACAGGTTTCACTGTAAATTGTTGCACATTACAATTGCATACCGTAAAGCGTATTGACGGTGAGGTGTAGAGGCGCACGCGTGCGTGAAGTTAGGGACCGTAATGATAAATTACTCACATGAATCTAATCAGTAGGGGCGCTGGTCTGAGATTAAGGATCATTTTCATATTTTGATCGGCACATTGGTGATACAAAAAACGGATTCCCTGATGATTTTCTTGATGCATTTTACATTGACTTTGTATAGAGACCTTCACATTATGAGCAATAAATCCTTGGGAAGGCGGACAACCCATAAAAGTAGACAGTGAACTAGGGTTATGTTCCCCAGGGAATCGATTTTGGCATCGCTAGCGGGCGGTTCGGTAACTCGAAACCCGCAGAGTGCCGATGAAAAAAATGTCTGCGAAAATGCAGGCCATCCTCATTTTTGAGGATGCATCGTGTCAGCGTTTATGAGGACGATCCTCGTTCTCGGACCAGCGCCCCTACTGCTAATGAGGATCTGAGATTACAGTCTGTATCTTCAGTCATGCTCGCACCCCATCGTTGGCCATTAAAAAAAAATTACTTTGTGAACACTGATTTTCCTGCTTTTGACTCGCATCGACAGTGTAATTTATATGGGAACATTTATATAATCTTTGCATCACCCACAGAGCAAAGTGATGAACCTACAAGGCAAGATGAGAAACTTCTTGGACCTCACGACTTTCTGCTATTGCCACACTTATGAGGACACAGGAGGAAATTCTCTGGTTCAAGGAAGGCATGGTGCTGGCTAGGCTGGGACTCGATCATGATATAGATGTCTTGCGTCTCTCATTACAGATCCACAGGTATGTTTAAAGATCTTTGGATGTAGCGATTGCTTCTCAATTTATTCTCATATGTGTTAAGTTATTCTTAGATGCACTACATGTAGAACAGTATCATTAATCGCTACACTGGATGAGGTTGCAAATTCATTCCATTTTACTTGGAGTGAAAGTTTTGGAGTTAAAACCCTTCTGGCTCTCAATAATCGGCAGACCACAAGTTGATAGGTAACCATAGACGTGCTGGAAAACAATTCATGAATATATGAATTGAATTTTTTCATGGATCTAACTCCATACATTTTTCCTTGTCCTTCCACAGATTCTGTATTGCAGAAGTACCAAGAGAGCACTCACTCCTAGGCATGCCTACATCATTCCGAGTCCAGAATCTACTGCTGGCTCTCTGATCCCTAGTGCACTGTCTTCATGGATACCCCAGCAGATCCTTGTCATGCACGTCTCATTGTTGTGAGTTTTTGATAAACTTTTCGTAAACTATGCGATATTGAAACAAAAATATACATGGTCATCAGAGTACTTTTTGAAGCACAAGATGTGTTGATAAATCTGGTTGGCTAAAATCCTCAATACAAAATCATATTTTCTCCTGAGCTAGAATGATTAATTCCCTCTGTGCATTGAGGAGAGAAAATAATGGTGTGAAGCAGATCAAAAGATTTGCTCCCATTGATTGTTGTAATGAAACCATTAAATTGGCATTTTTTTAATGATATTTTGAATTCATTACCATATTTCTTTTATAATGAATTTAAAAAATCTTTTCGTACATTACTGAGCAAATTGTGTTGGGTCTATTGCTTTTTTTTAATGTTTCAACATCTTGAAAGATACGTTTTGTCACAATAGCCACAATACAAAAGATAATGCATAATAAAACAGTTTCTCGTATGTTGGCTTTGAGTTTGACATTTACCCCTTTCTTCATACGTTCATTTTGCTTTCACAATACCTACAGTTATCTCGACATCATGATTCTGAAGAGTTGCATTGCTGCAAAAACAATGTTGCCCCAAGGAGAGAGTTTCCTACATCCACTTGAGAAACTGAAACTAAAGATTTAAGCTGCCCATGGGTATTCTACTCCCAATATTTGCAACATGCCTTTTAAAGAATCTGCACATCTAAACGTGAAGTTGCCCAACCGAGGGATACTAGTGTCCATGATCAGAGCTTGAGAAACAGATCCTTTCATACTTGAGGAACAGTACAATATCAAAGTATAGCTGGTAATCTGAACATTTGAAATTTGGTCGGCAGAGGGGTGCAAGTATTCAAGTGATGCAGAGAATATTTGCAATGGCAGCAGGGCAGTGCATCCATCGTCACTCCTCACATCGTTTCCAGAATGAGGATCACAAGTATTCAAGGGATGCAGAGAACATTGGAAACGGCAGCAGGACAGAGCATCAATCATCACTCCTCACATCGTTTCCAGAATGAAGATCACAACTATTCACTAGATGCAATGAACATTGGTAATGGCAGCAGGGCAGAGCATCCATCGTCGCCCCTCACATAGTCTCCAGAATGAGGATCACAAGTATTCAAGGGATGCATAGAACATTGGCAATGGTAGCAGGGCAGAGCATCCATTGTCATTACGTTACATCGTTTCCAGAATGAGGATCACAAGAGAGGTTTGGCTGTCTTGTTTGTGTCGTAGCCATGATTGATGGTTATGAAGTTGTGGCGATGAGTCTGTGTTTACATTTCCAAATCATATGTAGAAACTTTTGCATTGTATAGGTAAATAGGTATTTTATTTCATTTTTCATTGTGTTGTAGGGTGCGACTAAGGCCTAGTGTGACTGCTAGATTTAATTTAATTTGGGGTATTTTTCTGATGGTTTTAAAATTATTACTGGTATGTTTTGATCCATCATTGATAATGTAAAACATTGCTCAGAAAAATGAAATATCAGAGCATGTAGATATCCCCCCCCCCCCCCCCCAAAAAAAAAAGAAGCAAAGAATTACAAGACAACATTTTGCTCAAGAGAGTGACTCAATGCTCAATAATGAAAAATGATAACTTTTGATTGAATTATTAGCTGAAATTGTAAATGATTGTCTATGCATCTAAACATACATTCCAAAAATATTCAGCCCCAAAATAATGGCGTATAGTTGTATGCTTCAAATAGCGCATTCATATTGTTGGTGCACCTCAAGAGTGTGGTTATCTGATATTTGCTTCTGCAACATTTGCTCTGGGCTTTATTATTTTACATGGTGGTTTTAACATAGTATTGGAACCAGGTTAGAGGTCAAGAATTTGGAATGTGTTTAAACAAAAATTGTTCTTGAGCAGCTGTCATAAAATCCAGAAAGGCAAAAATATTCTTGTGAGATATGGGATACACCAAGGAGGGTAAACATTATTGCCCCATTACCCCCACTCCTTCCGTAAAGATCCCTCGCCCCCGCCCCCCCCCCCTCAAAAAAAGGGCAAAATTGATAATGTTATTAACATAATTGAATAATTTGGTATATAAAAATATCAAATAGATGAAGAGTTTCACCAACTGTGGATTATACCTAGCTGTAAAAGTCCTGATAAGTTTTTCTTTCTGTGTTTCTGGTTTGTGTGTTGAACGTCTTTGTATGATTCCAGTGTGTTTGTGTATGACCATGTGATATGATCTGAATACTGTTGTTGTTTTGGTCTATAGGCATTTATCATTTAGGAGTGAATATCTAAGCCTCTTCTGTTAGCATTTTTTTCCTTTCAAATTAGATTTACTTTTTTTAATATATAGATTAGGATAAATTAGTTGAAGTGTTCAGTGGCTGGCGAGCAAAAGGCCTATCGGCTATATTGGACGTCCAAGGACCAACTCAGACACGGTTCCTTGTGACATGTTTCTCAACTCAGCCCAATGCCGAGCCTAGGCCCTCTGACATCCACCATTAAGTCTAGTCGTCTCCACCGCATTTCTTCAAGATTTGTCCGAAAACCAATAAAAAACAGATCATATACATGAAGATTCTAAACGCTAATATACCGGTAGGCAGTTCTCTCTTCTCTTCTTTAGTACTTTTCTACTTTTCTTCTTCTTTCCCTCTTCTTCTTCTTCATGTATCACCCACTATAAATAAGCGAAACATCTTGAGCTTAATTAATTATGTGCGGTGCAAGGTGGTTAGTATGGGTACAGGTGTACTCTTTTAATTTTTAGTTCTAGATACGAAGTTGACCAGAGCCTGTTGATGGTTAATGTCTGTGGAATTCAGGAGAATTGGGATTGCTTTTTCGTTTTTCGTTTTTTCTATGCCAGATTCTATAATAAGCATGGCTCTCTGTATAAGGAAGTGAGAGCACTTGCATAAGAAATGGCTAACTGTTTCTTTTTCCGTGCTCACAGTATGAACAATATCCAGTCACATGTTCATTTAATCCTAAGTTCCCCATTCTTACCAGCTAGTCTTACTCAAAGCCTAGACCTATTGAATAAGATCTAAATGGACAAACAAATTTCTGCTCTTTTTTAAACCTACATGTAGATACCCACAAATGAGATCTTCTGCAGACTTATTAAAATATTTAGCTCGATCTATATTTCAATGATAGCTCTTTGGTTATGTGTGAGTGAACTAGACCATGTTGCTTGCATTGTATTTTTAAAGTCTATTGTCTCTGGGTTCGGCTGTGTCTATTTTGGGATATTTATATGCCCAGCCATGCCAAGTAGACATTTTGATGGAGACAAACTCGCTTGTACGCAGATATATTTTTAGGCAAGTTGGGCAAGTAATGAAAAATCTTTGACGTAAACGCAGTACTATGCCAAAAGATCTGATTTTATATTATATTTATACATGGGATGGCACGCTGTAGACTACTGGCCTGGCCACTGTTTTCAACCGCTCTAGAACTGGCGTCTTCAATTGGAAAAAAACAACCTTTTAAATTCATTCTTCAAGAAGTGGCATCTTCTTTCTACGTTCCATCAAGAGTTTCAAATATCTTCCTAATGTTACTAATACTCTGCAGATGAAAAGAGATGGACTGAATTTTTTTTTTTTTTTTAATACAAAGTCATTTATGTTCATATTAACTAGCAAACGGAACTCCCAAGATTACGTGCTGAGTTTGCTGATATTACATCTGAATAACCTATTTGAATGGAATTTGTGTAGTGATTTTCTAAGTTTATAGTTTTCCATACCTTTACATCTGAATGACCTATTTGAATGGAATTTGTGTAGTGATTTTCTAAGTTTATAGTTTTCCATACCTTTACATCTGAATGACCTATTTGAATGGAATTTGTGTAGTGATTTTCTAAGTTTATAGTTTTCCATACCTTTACATCTGAATGACCTATTTGAATGGAATTTGTGTAGTGATTTTCTAAGTTTATAGTTTTCCATACCTTTTACAAAATTCATATCTCCCTTATTAGTTGTTGCTCTGTTTCTCTGCACCATGAACCTCTGGTTCTTCTCTAGTGACACTGCTATTGTCTTCTACCACTATTTGCGAAATTTCCCAGACTTTTATTCCTTGGTTCTTAAATTCGAAGAGGGCTAACTGCATATTTCCAATCAAGACCAACATTTGTTGACAAATAAACACAAAGTCAAGTAACTGTACGGCAAACAAGAAGTACGCACTATGGCAAAGTTTCGGTTTAAAGTTTAGCGCCACTAGCGCTCGCAATATCGATCCGCGGCCGCTATATCTTGTTCTCTTTAACAATTAAGGCAGTAAACCACCCACTCGTGGGGGACATCCTTGGTCAAAGCCTGAAAGTGCTGAGCCTGCCACTAAGCACTACCCAGATATTTTGCAAATAGTTCAAGTCTGATAATGAGGGCGTTGACAGCATCTTCCACAGTCCCATTTTTGTCTACGAGTGCCATTTGTTTCCCTTCTCAACTTCTGCCATCGTCCACTCCCTCATTTAGATGTTCCTTGCCGTGACTCTTAAACCCTTCGTTCCACACTGCTTGCAGATCCAATCAATGCAGGGTCTCTTGGGAGTGCTTCCTTGCTAGGGACATAGTTAACATTCAGTGCATCGTATATGTTTCTAATGGTGTTCTTCTGTCCAAGCTGCATGCATTTTGCAGTCAATGACTGCACAAGGAAATTTACATTTACACAATACTCGCAAAGGCACTGCAGTAGGCTAGTGGCAGCCAAAAAAAAAAATCAGCAACAACATACAAACCTCAATGCATGACTGCTGGGTTGAACACAGGGCTTGGTCTTGCACCAACACCGCTGTCACCACAACAGTGTCATTGACTAACATGTTGCTGTTGCTGTCTTTTAGCATCAGGCGACGCCTCTTGAAGGTGGGTGTCGACACTAAAGTACCGTCCAAAACCTACACCTAAATGTAGACCCCAACAATCACACAACTACACACACAAAACAGAAAAAACATAGAAAACAAAAAACTCAAAATAAATATGTTGGATTCCTTCATTAAGAACAGGTTTTAACCCTTCATGGTGCCCTTGGCGAGCATAACCTTCTTCCTTAATGGCAACGCCAAGAGTTCTTTGGCCACCTGCTCTTCAGGAAAGTGGCAATAAACGGCCACTGGCTCCGACTCCCTCGACTCCAACACGAGCCCAAACACATGCGGCTCCTTGCATCGTGGTCTTCGTATTTCAAATTGTTCCACAACACAAACCTTGAAAATACCAGGCATGATGGCTGAAAAACACACGGCACTCAACTTAAAAATAAAAAACTCTAACAAAAGTAACAGAAAAACAGAAATGACAACTAAAAACAGCTGAGCCCTGGCATTAAATCTTCAGTCACACAAAACACTATCAGAAAACAGAAATTACATAGAAAACTAAAACTCAAAATAAATATGTTGGATTCCTTCATTAAGAACAGGTTTTAACCCTTCATGGTGCCCTTGGCGAGCATAACCTTCTTCCTTAATGGCAACGCCAAGAGTTCTTTGGCCACCTGCTCTTCAGGAAAGTGGCAATAAACGGCCACTGGCTCCGACTCCCTCGACTCCAACACGAGCCCAAACACATGCGGCTCCTTGCATCGTGGTCTTCGTATTTCAAATTGTTCCACAACACAAACCTTGAAAATACCAGGCATGATGGCTGAAAAACACACGGCACTCAACTTAAAAATAAAAAACTCTAACAAAAGTAACAGAAAAACAGAAATGACAACTAAAAACAGCTGAGCCCTGGCATTAAATCTTCAGTCACACAAAACACTATCAGAAAACAGAAATTACATAGAAAACTAAAACTCAAATTAAATACCTTGGATTCCTTCGTTAAGGACAGGTTTCGACCCTTCATGGTGCCCTTGGCGAGCATAACCTTCTTCCTTAATGGCAACGCCAAGAGATCTTTGGCCACCTGCTCTTCAGGAAAGTGGCAATAAACAGCCACTGGCTCTGACTCCCCCTGACTCCAACACGAGCCCAAACACATGCGGCTCCTTGCCTCGTGGTCTTCGTATTTCAAATTGTTCCACAACACAAACCTTGAAAATACCAGGCATGATGGATGGAAAACAGACGGCACTCAACTTAAAAATAAATAACTCCAACAAAAGTAACAGAAAAACGGAAATAACAACTAAAAACAACTGAGCCCGGTCATAAAATCTTTAGACACAAGAAAACATGATCGGAAAGCTACCGCAATAAGGGTATGAAAGGCTGAATGAACTTCTTATATATCACACCTCTGATCCCTAAAACATACAAACACACAATGGTGATGAAAATTTAGTTTCATTAACAATATCATCGTTTAAAACATCAACACAACCAAAACTATAGTAAACCTGACATCAAGTAGGTACGTGACAAAAAATTTCAAAATTATTTAATCTCTTTAAAATTGGTATCATTGGAAAGGGCATGAAAAATGCTTTAAAATGACACCTCAAACATGGTCATAGGGTAAGTATACACAAATACAATTTTGGCGACCTTCCACGCAAGCCGCCGTAAGTGGCGCTACAGTTGGGGGGCAGCTGGGGGGCTTCTGGATAGCACCTGAATGGGAAAGTTGAATGAGCGAGAGCTCGTTCGTACTTAGGCCCGCATCTACTGGCGGTGTGGTGAGAGTGCCTCCGTACCGTAAGATCGAACTCACAACTCTGCTCCAGCTAGCCCTTTGTTGTTGTGCACTCGTGCCGTGATCGAAGTGAACTTTTTCGTCAAGGTTCTTTTGTTTGATAAAACAGTTTTGATTCGGACTTTTCTACAATGAAAAAAACAAAGCAAGGAACAGGAAAACACTGTGCGGTTGTGGGATGTACGAACAATAGTAAAAAACTAAAAAAATGGAAAATCTCGATGTGCGAAATCCATTCTCCTTTGTCCAACGATGAATGCGAGTGTTCACAGCCTTATCAAATGCACCGATTTCCAAATGGAATTTCAGCTGATAGTGCCGCGAAACTTAAAGTATGGTTGAAAAACCTAAATCGCAAGAACTTTACACCAAATCCGAACAGCAGGGTGAGTTATCTATCTTTACATTTATCGAAATATTCAAACATTTACAAACAAAATAAAGAAGTAAAGTAAAATGAGTGAATAAAGAATTATATCATCACACTGAATATTCACAAAAGAGCAAAGCAGAAAGCTCTTCATCTATATTGATGACATTTTTTTTGGGGGGGGGGGGGGGCTCGTCCCCCCGGGATACACAAGGGGGTACAAAAATTTTGGACACCAAAGGGGCCAAAAAAAGTTTAAAACTTTTTTTTTTTTGGGGGGGGGGTGGGGGTTATCAGCTTATTGATTCGATCGGGGGGGGGGGGGCAAATTGCTTAGAATCTTTTATGATGGGGTGCAAAATTTCTCATCACTACCGGGGTGCCAGAACTAGCTGACCCCCCCCCCCTCCCCCACCCTTTATGTCAAATAGGCATAATGGAAACGCGCATGGATTTAAACAAAAACAAAAAACTAATAAATATCTTATTAGTTCAGGCATAACCACCTTCATGTTTTTGTGTTTTTTTTTCTCCCACAGTTGTGTTCAATTCATTTTGAAGATGGGAAACCAACTGCGGACCATCCATATCCAGTCCAGTGCATGGGTTACAAGAACTTTGTGAGTGAATTGATAATACATGTATTATTATTAATTTTGTTATTGCTTAAAAATACCTACATGTATTACATTGAGAAAGTACCCATTTATTTTCAAATGGAATTATGTTTAGGTTGAAGGCCCATAGTAGTTTTTGTTGATTTTAGAAAAGATAACATTGCTTAAAACATACACGTATATAGGACATGTTTTATCATTAAAAAATTATATATTTATGGAGAAAAAGATAAGGACAAGATTACAGATGCTGTGACAAATGTGGCATGTGTGATGCTGAAAAGGGAACATAAGGAGATTAATATGTTATCTATTTTTATAACAGCTTTTAATACATTTTCCCAACAGAAAACATTGTCTCCTGGAAGGCCACTTCCTAAACAACGGACACCATCCAAATCTACAGACTCACCAGCTGACAAGAAACCACTTCCTAAGCAGCCAGAGAATGATCCCGATGAGAGTGCAGAGGAGGGTATATATCACACATCTACACAGACAGATGGACCAAAGCTGGAAAATTCGTACTCTCAGTGGAGGGATGTCACCCTCGAAGACCACACATATGCAAAGATATGCAATTTGCAAAACACTAAAGCAAGTCAAACCGAACGTTGTCCAGAAGTATCGGCAAAAGACATGAATGATGGGGTCCTAAAATTCTACACAGTGTTTTGGGCCTTTATCAACTCACTTCTCATGACACTTTCATCACTTCCAATTTTCAAATGGCAGTGCACGATCAGATTTTGCTTGTTCTAATGCGACTTCGATTAGGCCTCATGTTCACTGATCTTGCTGCAAGATTTCGTGTCTCCAGGACTACGGTACGTACAATCTTTTCTACATGGCTGACAATAATGGCTAAATATATGAAAGGGAACATTATCTTCTGGCCAGCACGTGACACTCTGGCAAGAATTCGACCCCAAAGCTTTGCTTCTTGCCACCCCAAAGCGACCTGTATAATAGATTGCACTGAAATATTTGTCCAAAGACCAGCTAATCTAAAAAAGCGGGCACAAACTTATTCCAATTACAAAAGCCACAATACTTACAAGGCTCTATATTGTATCGCACGTAATGGCTTTGTAACATACGTTTCCAAACTCTTCGGCAGACGGGCAAGCGACACTTTCATTTCCAAAAACAGTGGGTTTGGTGAACATCTACTTCCAGGGGATGAAGTTTTAGCAGACAGGGGATTTACGATAAAAGATATGCTGCCGGCCGGAGTCAAGCTCTCAATTCCAGCCTTTACAAGAGGATTTAAGGATAGACGACTTCCTGAAGAATGTGTTACAGAAACCAGACGTATAGCCAATGTCAGGATTCATGTGGAAAGGGCTATTAGACGCTTGAAGTGCTTCAAGATTTTAAGCAGCATAATTCCAGCGACCGTTCAAAATGTTGATGACATTTTAATTGTTTGTGCTGGGTTATGCAATCTACAACCCCTTCTCATAAATGAGCAAAGTGAGTCGAGAGAAACCGAGGATGAAAATTCAGAAGAAATACCAATGGACATTGATGATTCTTCGGATGGATATTGAAATTAGATTTGATTTCTACATTGTTTAAGGTGTTTTATGGTGAGAGCCCCCAAATTCTTTGGATGTTATCCATGAACCGACCCTTTGTTAACAGCCTGTTCATGTTTTTCACATTAAAAAGTAAAGAATTGATTCATTGCCCTTTGTTTTCTTTTCTAAATAAATTTACATAAGAATGTGTTAAAAATAATTTTAAGAAACAATAAAGTAAACAATTCTGACCACATCATTAAAAAAAGGGTGGGATTCATTGAACATCCAAACAATTGTTGTTTTTTTTTTGGGGGGGAGGGGGGGGGGGGCTATACTCACGCATGGGGTCAATTCAACAAATTATTACAAGCAGATTAACACAGATACAAACATACACAAACACACCCACACATACACTTATGTGTTCTTGGAATTTAATATTTAATATTTACCTGTACTTAAAATTTGTATTAAGATTTGTTGAAATATCTTAATTGAACTAAAAAAAGTAGGTGCCAAATAAGTGAAAGAAGATTTGTTAAATACAGTTTACTCTGCCTAAGTCTAGTCTCTTGGTTTGACAAAAATCTCCTGGATTAAAAAAAAAACAGACTTAGAACAGGTCAATAACAAGGCTTTGAATGATTTTTTTTCTTCAAAAATTGCATAAACTTATTCAATTCTCTGACGTAGAGATGTTGACTTGGGCAGAGTTGACTGTACTTCAGGATATCAAACTTGTTTCGTGTACAGGTACTAGGTGTAAATTTATCTTTCACCGTTACCATACCATCAACAGGCCATCATCTTTTCCATGCTAATCATTGTCATGTGATTATTAGAATCACAAGTTTACCACAAAAATCAATCATCCGATCATCACTTTGATTTAGTGCTTGTCAAAGTCAAATATAATGACCAAAGATGCCACACATTATTTCCATACTCAAGAATTTTATTATTGTTCATGCAAGTTTTAAATGTCTGCACTTAAAAGATTTACATGATATACATATAAATTCATTTCATCTTTTGTTCACATCTGAAAATTTACATGTATAAACCCTTCAGAAATGTGCACTGTAAACTTAACTCAATGATCAATGTATTGTAATAATTAGTAAATTTTTGGAGTGTTTAGAGTGTGTTGTATTGAAAGCTTGGAATGAAATTACTATTACAGTGGAAACTCACTATAACGAGGTGCTTGGGACCATCAAAAATACCTTGTTATAGAAGTAATCTCTTTACAGCAGAGTTAAAAAAAACCAATAAGTTATTAAGAACTCAGACCAGATTTTTTACCTTTTTATATCAGATATTTTGTTATATCAGATCTTAATAACGAGTTTCCACTGTATTAAATAAATGACTATTAACCAGTCGAAAACTACATTATGTATGCAAAATAAGTGACTACAAAACATAAATAAAGATATACCAAAACAGCTGGAAAGTTTCTGGATTCAGTATTAAGATGGGAGTAAACATTGCAATCACCTGTAGTTTAAAAGCAAATAAAAGAATAATTTTAACTATTTTGTAATACATGTATAAAATATTTTGTAATATAATATGCATCTGATTTTAAACACAAATGAGTCTGTTGTATTTCATTTGAGTCTCTGTTTTTTCTTCAAATCTTACTTAAATTATTCCATCACAGATGAAGAATGAATACATATACATGTACAGTTGACCCTGCATAAGTTGAACTGGGACATCCAAATGTAACGAGTCTTTAGAAATTAAAACTAAAATAGCAAATAATATATGCCCCATTCGCTGCGTTTTCAAATGAAGGTGAAAATAAGACCCATGTTTCGTTAACTAAAGCAGAGTGAACTATACATGTCATAAAAAGTAATAAAATTCTCAATATGTGTTTACATGTTCTTCAAATAATTTGAGGAGGCTTCATAAAGTTTTCATGAAATGTACCACAACTCATACTGTATTACCAATAATTGACATCTCTACAATAGTCTGTTCCTTCTGAGAAAGGAACTGCTTTAATAAGAGTCCTTATGCAAAGTTAATTCTTCAGAATACGTACCTGACCAGGGTTGTGTTTCATAAAGATGTTCGTAGTTGTACGCACGACTCTGCGAACGACTGGTGATCCTTTCCTGCGCTCAGTGACCGCGATGTGGTTGACTTAGCACCTGAGAGAGGATCAACAGTCGTTCGCAGAGTCGTGCATACCTCTATCAACATATTTATGAAACACAACCCAGGGCGATGTTTCACCAAATTACGAAAGACTTTAAGGATGACTTTAAGAACGACTGGTATTGGTTCTTGTGCTGAATGATCGAGAATCTAATAAGTATTACACCCATTAACGTATTCCAGTCTTTCTTAAAGTCGTTCTTAACTTTAAGAGCGATTTGGTGAAACACCGCCCAGCTTATAATTAAAAATTTATAACAACCAAACACTTACATAATACAGTCAAACCTCGTTATAACGATGTCCTTGGGACCAGAGAAATTATCTCTTTATATCGAAACCTTGTTATATCAGGGCCCAAATATAATAAAAAATACAAAGAGATGGGACCAGGAAAACTACCTTGTTATAACAAGATCTTGTTATATCAGTGCTCTTTATAACGAGGTTGGACTGTATATTCCTTTTTTTTCAAAGGGGAGCAGGGGTCCTTCCAAGCATCAATGCTAAAAAAAGCAGGGGGAAATACCATTGTCAAAATAATTTTGATTACAGAAATATAAAACAATTAGAGATTTTCATGGAAAAGCATGAACACAGCAATCTATTGTGCAAGCTTAACAAATCTTAGAGTTTGTGAGTTTACAGCATCTGTGATGGCAGGGAGGAGGTTCATGAAATAAAATTCCTTCAGTCTTGAATATTGCTGGCTGAACCACTCCTGGTTGAAAGGTACGTCCACAGTTACCGCCTCATTTTCTGTCCAAACCATGAACTTACACATTGTTGCCTTGGCACAATACATAGCAACCTGTACTTGCATGTAGTATCCACTGGCAGCAGCTGTTTGCCGCAAGTAGTTCTCCCCATTCTCCCTCCTCCTGATATCATAAGTTCCACTTGCAAAAAGTCCAGATAGAGACTTGTACTTGGAAAGTCGCTGCATGGTCGGACACTTAATTTCTAGGATTGAATGTTCATCAATACGACCGTCAAGGCTGGCACCTAACCAACTGTCCTCTGGCCTCACTAGAAGACCAACTTGGTCGACATGACACCCTGTCTCCTCCTCAAATTGCTTCCTAGCAATATCTTCATGCTGTTGTCCATGAATTGTCGCTGCATTTCCTCTGAAAGTTGGATCTAGATGGTTTTTTATCCATTTGGATGGATCCGTTTCCTGACGTTTCGGTACACTTGCGGCTGAACTACTGGTGATTCGCAGTTTTCTTTGCGAAGTCCAGAGTGCTGATTTTTGGTTAACAGTTTTTTCAGCAAGGGATTTCGCCTGTGTTTCTGTCAGCTGCACATACCCCTCAAACAGCTTTCTGCATGGAGCACACTCCAGTGGTATAGCATGATTTCCATGGTCAACAACTTCAGCTGTTGGCCTGACCCGATCAGAATGAGACGATTGTGGCTTGGCCGACTGCATATGGTGAAGAATCGTCCCGGGAACAGACTACAAACTCTGCATGTGTGGCTGGTTGAGATGGGCCAATAGGAGCTCATCTGTCTCAAAAGCTAACACTGTGTTGGCCATCGAAGTTTTGGTGTTCGTGCGAATGTTTAGAACCGTGTCCGGTAAAACATTCTGCTGCGTGCTGCGGTTCCAACTGCAGGATACATCAGTACACGCTACGCCGATAAAGCCTTTCTTGTTCGCTTCATGCACCTTGAAAGCCAATCCAGCACTGTGGCTACAACATCGTCCTTCTGATGCAATGCAGTCGCACTTAACCGCTACAATCTTACTTTCATTCCGGTTCACGGTCACTTCTACTTGATGGTAGTTGCCAATTGTCTGTGAATATCGTACTTGACAGCGTAGAATCACGTTTTGCCCAGACATCTTATGCATCACGACTCCAACCCATCCTGAATGCAGATAGTTTATACCTTCACTAATGCTGCGAAAATTTTGATTCGGCTGGTTGTCACAAGCTGGCATGGTAACAAAGTAGTCGTAGATATCTGGAGGAAAGACACAAAAATACACACATTATACTTGTTTTTTTTTCTAACGCTTATTAATTCTAATTGCACATTACCAAGGGACTCACCATTCCTTATGCATGCCTTTATTTTAGTTTTTTTTTGTTGTTGTCCCTTTGCCTTGGCCCCTCCCAGTCCTACCCTCACCCCTACCCCCTACCCCCCCCCCCCCAGCCCATATCATTAGCATAGACTTTGAAATTTAGGAGATTTCGGCGAGGGAAAACTGAAAAAAAACCCATGAAAACTGCAAATCACAACAAATTCATGAAAGATTATCAGACTTCTCATCAATGCAATTGATTAAACTTGCACATTTATTGTATGAAATTCCTTGAATTATTTATATTTTAACTCTAAATCATTCCGTCTCTCACTCTCTTCAATTCAATAAAATCATCTGCATGTTAACATACACGATAATGAATATGTGGGACACCGTTACAACGGCGTCTCCCAAACTTCGATTGCCGAAAACGCACGCAAAACTCGCCTCTAAATCGCAATAACATACCTTGAAACTCCAATTTAGGCCAATGACGGACATCATCTACCCATTCATCCATCGTAAATGAAATAAATTTAGACAAAATGAAGTTGAAATGTCCGAAAGCGGCAAGGAATAATAAGTGGTTTGTCTGTGAGAAAGCAATGATCGTTGCATGCAAGATGAAAGCGCAAGCTGATAGAAGCCCCCCAGCGTGTAATGATAAACGTAGAGGGCTCACATCCATGAAAATTCGCCCGTATCGGTGTATAATGAAAGGTTATATGATAAAACACATATCACTAGATAAATGAGATCTAAAAACCATTATAAATGTGTATAGTATTACGATAAAAATGTCTTATATCACGACACAAACATGGACATAAATAAACCATGAATCAATGTAAGGGTGCTGCAGACAACTTCATGATAAATATGTGCATTCAAGTACAAATAGCAAAAAAAAATGGTATACACCAATTTTTGTTTTCTCGTGCAGTTAAGGTTAAATATCAAACAAAAATGACAGGTTCGAGGAAACTGTAATTGGAAGTAACTTGGGCTCTCTCTCTCCAACGATCATAAAGCACTTTTGTCCTCTCGATCACACCCCATAACCTATCTTTAAAAGACTATCCCAAAATGAAAACAAGCTCTCTCTCTCTCCAACGAACATAAAGCACTTTTGTCCTCTCGATCACACCCCATAACCTATCTTTAAACCTATCTTAGCTGGAGTATAGTTTTATCCTCAAATCTATCCTCGAACCTATCTTAGCTGGGGTATAGTTTTGGTAAATCTGAAAATACAGACTTTCAAAGTGTGAATTTATTGTAAGATAGAATGAAAGGGTATATGATAAAACACATATCACTAGATAAATGAGATCTAAAAAGCATTATAAATCAAAATGTGTATAGTATTACGATAAAAATGTCTTATATCAAAAGTCGGGGTCCCGGAAAATGAGTATTTTTGTTATTTTTGACATAAAACAACTTCACAGGCACGGAAGTGGAGGAAAAATTTCAGGATAATATCTTCGTGTATGGCTTTCTGACATACATTAGCTAAATCTATGAAATCATTTTTCGGGAAGTTTTTTCTTTTTATAAGGGAAATAATATCATTGCCGATAGAGATCGCGCTCAATCTGATCTACCAGTCAAATTCAAATTTTCACAAAGATTCAACGCGTAAAAAATTGGTGTAACGGTCACTATGCTTTTGTAGAGTTGGAGTGTTTCATAACAGATCAATATAATTGATATTATTGAATCTTACCAAAACTATACACCAGCTTTAACAGAATAAGACGAAAAACGAATGGCGAAAGCTCTCTGCCACAACTACACACACTTTCTTCCTCTCGACCACGCAACCACCACCCCAGCCCGCAGGACCTAACGGTGAAATATACTATTTAAAAAAAACATGTTATAGGCCCCCCCCCCCCCCCCCTCCCATTAAGTGAAAGTACGCCACCGGAACCCTTTTATGCTATTGGTAAATTAACAAATAAATAATAATAATAATAATAATAATAATAATGCAATTTATATAGCGCACGTATCCACTCTGCAGAGTGCTCAAGGCGCTTATTGTCATTATTACCCGGCTTAGCTAGGCTACCCTGATAAGGCGCACACAGCATTCAAGGAATTTCTTCCTACCGGTACCCATTTACTTCACCTGGGTCGAGTGTGATGGATGTAGATTAATGTCTTGCCAAATAAAGAAATTAATTAAATTTCCCTAACAAATCTTACATCATTATTCTCATAGTCTTCGAGAATTGGCCCTTCCCATGAACTTTCTAGCTCATACCCTTCCTCTCCTAGTGGGTTATAGAGTACTATGCACTCTTGCCCTCCAGTCACAGAATCAATATACCCTCTGTACCAAATCAACTCGTCATCAACCTCGAACCTGTGATTTATGTCCCTCCCCACAATGTCTCTTATGCTCAATTTGGGTATCTTTAAGTCCCCATTATCCAGGTCATCCTCTATTTGTTTCCTAGTGTACTCATACGAAGCCCGAGGTTCACTATCGTAACTAAGTTTTAGGCCCTTCCTTGTTCTACTTGTGATAATGGCCCGATGCCACTCTTCTTGCCCCCCTTCTCCCTCAGTTAGGTGATCCACTATTTTCCCGACTAACTCTTCATACTTCTCTCTGTCCTTCTCCACAGCCTTCTTTTTTGCTCGACTCTTGACTTTACTCCGTTTCTCTTCTACCCGTCCGCGATATTCGGCCACTTTCTCTTCGGATGCACACATACTCGCATACTCCGCTTCTGCTCTATCCTCCTCTCGCTCGCTTCGTTCACTTGCAACCCGTATTATTTCGAGAAGGCACTCTTTCAATTCTTGCACACTCTTCTTCTTACCTTTTGCACTGACATTCAGCCTTCCTTGTACATTTGCCTCACGAAACACATGCCTCCTCGCTTGAAGCTGCGCTTGCAGCATTTCACTACACTTCTTCTCACTCTCTCCTTGCAGTCTTTCATGCACCTCATTTTCCGACATCCATATTCCTCCACATTTCTCTACCACGGTCACATACACACTTTCACTTCTCACACATTTTTTCACTTCGCGTTCCTCAGCCTTCTCCTGTTGACTTTTCCTTTTCGCCGCTCTTTCATCCCACAACTGCTTCACTCTCTCGGCATACTCATCTCTCTGAGCCTTGACGCTTTTTCTCGCATACTCCATCAACTTTTCTCTGTCAGTTACATGGAGACCCTTTCGCCATTCGCTTGTCTTATTCCGCACACCCATAATGATGCTCTCTACGAACATCATACCAGCAGATGGCTTCAACCGCATCAATCTATCAAGCATACCGAAGTCCCGCTCTACTCCTACATTCGTTTTCGGCACACTCTTTGTCTCCTTCACTTTCTCTTCTCCCATTTCAGAGTGCTTTCCAGAAGGCAGGTGATCTTCCAACATTTTTTCGGTTACCTGACAGTATGTCAGGAAGAGCACTTCCAGTACCTGCTTGGTCATAGGATCAAGCTCAGGATTTGGGGTGACCAGTGCAGTGAAGATGGGGTCTAAAGGGTCATGTTTGCCTTCGAACAGAACATCTTCACCGCGCATGAACTCACTGGAGTCATCAGACCACCTTTCAAAGCAGGAAAGCATCGATGTGTAATGCTCGTTCATGGTAGCAATGTGACCTGGCTCGTTTATGACTTGCCACAGTGGGCCAGTCACCAACTTGTCAATTAGACCGAGCGCACGTACGGCTGCGAGAAACTGATTGACGCCAAGGTCTGCATTCACCGCCTTTAACAGTTGATTGCCCTCCGCATGTTCCTGGAAGAATTCTTTCAATTCTTTGGCGAGAAAGAAAACGCCGGCACCGTTGTGGAAGATGATGTTAAATCTGTTCCCCTTGAAAGGAGCAAGAGGAACAGATGTGATCCCTTTTGTCCGCAAGAAAGATCGGAATTGGAGGGGTTTACCTGCCTTCTCGCACCCACGGTCCTGTACTGCCTTGCATATCGTGCGCACCAAACGCACGGTACCGCACCCACTCTCTACATGGACTCCAGGCACTGTCTCTGCGCCAACTTTATCATCACCAAAAATCATACGCTCCCATGTCTGAAGAGCAGTACTGGAATAATCGGCAAGCCCTACCAAAAAGTGAAGTCCACAGTAGAAATCGTTCATACTAGCAAACTTTGCCTGTTCTTCATTGTTCATGTCAGCCCATCCTTCAACAATGTTCGGCAGAATAGACTCTCTGTACTCCTTCAGGAGGTTGTTGAATTTTTTCTCGGCTATATGGCGATCACTCATTGTGTTCTTGATGTTTGCAATCATCTTCTGCACTGTGTGCGTTGACCCTGGCATGTCGCTGACTTCCTGCAATATGCTCAGCAATGTATCCAGCGCTATTTGAGCAGTCCCACCTTCGCTCTCTCTCATTCCAATCGTCATGGCTGATGGTCCGCTGCCGTCATCTGATTCCTTGTAGACATCATAAGACATCATAAGAAGAATAGTGGTGTCCAAATTTGGTTGTTGCGTCACTTGCCATAGTCAAGTCCTTGCCTTCTGCTAGAGCTCTTGCAACTTGAACTTGGGCGAGCTTGCGTCCTTCCAGCATTATGGTGCATGCGGATGTCGTTTTGGGGAGTTTTACATCATCCATGGGTATGTCTGTTAGCCCCTCCAGAACAGTCCTAACAACACCCTCGCATGTTGTGGAGCTCACCCCATGCTTTACCATCAAGTCCTGATAAACCTCTCTTATACTAGCAGTGTACGTTTGTTTAGATTTGAAAGTCGTTGGTCTCTCTTCGACATCAACACCCAACTCACTCTTCAGTTCTTTCAATTCTTTCCGCAAATCAGCTATCAAACTAGATGTCGCTTTCTTCTCTTCTCCCGCTTTTTTCCCCACTTCTTTCTTTTCACGGATGTTTCTGTACAACTCCTTCTTCTTCCGTCTCAAGGTGTCAAGATGTGACGTGCTATGCTTTAGCTGTTTCTCACTCTTTCTGAGCCCTTTTTGTGTTATTTTATGGCTGTTTTTAGCCGCTCGCAACTTCTTCTTCAACCGCTTTACAACCGCCTCCCTATCACTGGGGTCTTCCTTCACTTTCAAACTCTGTTTAGCGTCCTTTTTAGCGTTCATTAATTCCTTCCTCACCTTCAATAATTGTTTCTTGTTTTTCCTTGCGTTCCGGATCTCTTTCTGACGCTCTTGCACATTCGAAATCGATTCATACCGGTTGCTAGGGAGTTTTGGGTGGATGTATTTTGCCACTGGACAATAGGACAGAGTTAAGACTCTGAATTGTCTCTTATCTTTACAGCCCGTTTTCTCTGTTATTCTTCTCATCACATTGACAGACTTGCTGGCCTTCTCGCTGTAATTCTGGATGGTTAGCATAGTCCATATAGGTCAAGTTTTATATCATTTTAAAGCTTACAAGCTGGGCTTTCATATTCAGTTAAAATCAGAAAAACCAAAATTTCTGAATTATTGGTCGTTTTGTCGTGGAGGGTCACATTTAAGATTTCAGTTTAAATGGTCAAATCATTTGAATGTACAAAGTAATTTTGTGAACTGCACCTACCTATACTACAATCTTTGTAAAAAAATGTTGGAGCAAAATGCTTTCCTCAGTCCCCTCATACAGTGCTGAAGCACCAAGTGTTGTTTCTTGTCTATGGAAGGAACTAACTTTGTGATAGGGGTTTGGGGACGGGATCATTGTTTATCTTCAGGTGGAGTT